GGTTTAAATTATGTTACTGTTCTCAGTCACATAACTATTAAAAGAGGAGCTAAACAAGGACAGACCCGAAAGTCCATGCTCATAAGCATCACGTGATGGATGGCACTGTAATGCCACTGACTGCTCAATTTCAAAGCAAAGCCGACATTAGCTTCAGTCCCTCCAGGTTTTCATTAGGGCTTATGTCTCTAAATCTTAAACTGGACTGTAGAAGAATTTTGTAACAGTACCATAATTTTTCAATTGTAAAAGAGTATGAATCAAAGTTTGTTTAGTGGATCCTTCATTTTCTATATGCACCCAAGATAAAGTAATACTATAAAACATATGCATAAACTGGCTGTGGTGATGCACACCTGTAATCCTAGCACCTATGAGGATGAAGCAAGAGGATAATGAGTTCAAGGCCAGCCTGGACTATATAGCGAGACCCTGTCTCAAAATAAAGAAAAAAGTAAATAAGTAAGTAAGTAAAAAGAGCTATACCATGGCCAGCATACACTTTGAACAGACCAGCCACTGGTGATGAAAGAAAAGGAGAATTAGAGATAAAAGACAAACGTACATTCAGCATTCACTAACACAAATGTATAAAATTTATAACCATACAGTGTTATCTATAAAAATCTACTGCCACTCCTACCTGAAACTTTTATTTTTGTGGAAATTAGTGACTGCTTGATAATCAGTAGGAAAGTATCAGGTATCTCACACCATTTCCAGAATGCACATTTCTTAGGCCAGGCATGAAGGCTCAAATCTGTAATCCCAAATACTCAGGAGAATCAAGGTGTAACACCAACCCAGGCAACAAGTTTTAGAGACACCATTTCAATATACTAGCCAGATGCAATGGTGCATACTTGTGATCCCTGCTACAAAGGAAACCACAGACAGGAGGATCAAAGTCTGAGACTGGCCCTGGGCAAAAAACAAGACCCATGGGCTAGAGTGGCTCAACTGACACAGCGCCTGCCTAACAAGCAAAAAGCCGTGAGTTCAAACCCAAGTACTGCAAGAAACAAAATGAGACCCTACCTGAAAAATAACTGAAGTTAAAGGGGGAAGGACGGTGGCTCAAGTAGTAGAGCACCTGCCTTGCAAGCACCCGGATTTCAAACCCCAGTACCGATCCATCCACCAAAAAAAACTTGAGCTGCACACAACACATAACATGTAATTCTAGCACTGAGAAGGTAGAGGGAGAGGAAGGCTGCCAAGTTGAGACCAACCTGGATTTTAAAATCTATTCTTTACTTTTTGGCCAGGGAGTTGGGGGGTAGGGGAGGTCAGACTGGGGTTTGAACTCAGGCTTTGCACTTGCAAAGCAGACATTCTACTGCTTGAGTCATGCTTCCAGTCTTACAAAAAAAAAAAAATCTATTCTTGAGGCCAAAGTGCAGCTCTGTGGTTCAGTGCTTGCCTAGCAAGCACAAGGCTCTGGGTTTGATCCTGAGCACCACAAACAAACAAAAATATACATTCTTACTGGGTGCCAGTTGCTCACACCTGTATTCTAGCTACTTAGGAGGCTGAGATCAGGACGATCAAGGTTCTAGGCCAGCCAAGGCAAAAAAACTTTGTGAGACCCAGTCTGAATGGAGAAAACCTGGACATAGTAGCAGATGCCTATCATCCCAGCGACAGCAGGAAGCTTAATATAAGAGGATTATGGTCTAGGCCAGCTTGGGCAAACCACCAAAGGAGTTTAAAAAAAAAAAAAAAGGGACGGGGGGAGGCGTGGGGGGAGACGGATGGGGACAGACCATGGATAGGGATGGGCATGAAGGTGTGGCTCAAGTGGTAGAGTGCCTAACTTTTAGCAAGCATGAAGCCTTGAGTTCAAACCTAGTACACCAACAAACAAACAAACAAAAAAGATCCATTCTTGCATCACTAGAAAGATTTAGTAACAGATAAAGCACTAATAAAACTTTAATACTAGTTTTAATACTAATAAAACTACAATGATAAAATTAATACTCATGGGAATGTCAGTCTCAAGTTACACTTGAACATACAAGCTATTGATTATAAAGACTGAAAGTCAGGTGACTAAATGAGGGTTAATAAAGTCACAAAATACTATACCAGATTTTACAGAATGTTGGTACAATACCTGTGGTGCTGGGGATCAAACACAAGGACTTATACATGCTAAGCATGTTCTCTACCACTGAGCTCTTGTACTATACTCATGGTATAGTACTTTTTCTGATCTAATTATTAGGTTTGGGTACTACCTAAGCCCATGCTAACCCTCTTCACTTGACAGAAACCTCACAAGAGCATGACTAACTTCCTTACAGTTAAATCAACACCCCTACAACCCCGATAAGGGGGCTGAACTTGGGCCTTGTGACTGTCCTACCCCTTGAGCCAACCCATCAGCCATTTTTGTGCTGGTTATTTTTTAGACAGGATCTTGCTTTGTTCTCAAGATGGTGATCTTCCTATTTGAGCTTCCCAGTGTAGGCAGAATGACAGGTGTATGCCATCACATATAGCTACTGGTTGAAATGAAGTTACAGGAACTTTTTTGGTAATCCTTGAGTAGCTAGGATTATTAGTTTGAGTCACCACTCCTGGTGAACTCTATAAAGTACTTAATGCTTGGTAGCATTTTTAAAAGGCTTCCTTCTACAAAGCCTTTCTTGTCCTCATTGTCCTTGCACCTTCCTAGCTAGTTTCCACACCTTTCTCAGCATCTGCCCGGGCACAAGCTCTCTTCCCTGAGCAACATGGAGTGGCCACCAGTGTCTCATTGGCAAGTACACACTCCAGAGGAGCTGCCACAAATGCTTCTGCCATTCATATCTCATGTCAACAGCCTATACCTTTATAAATGTAAAATGATGGGTACAGTTTTTAAACCCACAATAAAATGGGGTTTATTAACAAAAAGAATGCTGTGTTAATTAAAATGGTAAGTATTACAAAGTAATGCTCTCTTTGATGAAGCTGGAAGTATGCAATGCATAAATGGACCAGCTTAATAAATAGCTGTCACAAGTGCATGAAAAAGATGTAAAATGCAATAAGACCTTGGAGTTGAAGCTGAAGCCTGGATTCCTACTAAACACTCCATACAGATAAATAGTTTGGGAATATTTCTTTACCTGTAAAGGTAATTGGAGTCCTATTACCAGAGTTTGTTTTCCCTTAGGCTAAAAACACCAGAAGAATAGATCTGAAGAACATACCTAAACTTCATTCTGCTCACAGACCAGGTTATAGACAAAGTTCTGTGTGTGGAATTTGCTAAGAAAATCATTTTCAAATAACAGTAAGGTTGTGAGAGAATATCTCTGAGATGACTTTCAATGTCTGTTGTAACCTACCACAAACACTCTAGTGGTGTAGAATGACCAAATCCAGGTTGCAAAATTTATTAATGCAAATGTATCAGCAGCAATTGTTTTCTTCATACTACAGAAAACATGAACATCCACAATATGGCTTAATTCTATACATTTCAGCCTGCCCTGAATATACTTTTCTATTAACTGTTTGGAGAAGTCAAGAGGGCTACCACCTCAGAAAACTAAAAACAACCAATTAAGCATCACCCAAAAAAGTCTTATGCATCCAAATCCCTGCTTACTAAGTACCATTGAGAACCAAGGTGAGAAGTACAGTCCCCAAGAAACTCAGATCTAGATCTGTCTCTATTCACTACTCAGTTGTATAGCTTTGAGAAAGTCACCTAATTTCCCTCCAGTATTTCACTTCTATAAAAAGCATGGAGTTTGTACCAACATCAGGAAGTCGTGATGTATCTTTTAGATTAGATTAGACAAGATAGACAGACACATAGATAGATAGGTCTTAAGTATATGTAAATGCTAGTAAATTAAATTTAGTCTGTGAATACTTAGAACAGAAAATAACACTGTGGTCACTGAATCTAGAAATATATTATGTGAAATACTTTAGAAATTCTCTATTCCTCTTTGATACCACCATATTCCATTAACTATCTTTAAATCATTGGTTCAACAACTGATACTCAGCCAATAGATTACACCCTAACAATAAAATAATTTTTATGAACTAGAAAAAAGTGGTCATTAGTTCATTTCAGGGTCAGAACACCTCTATTTTCTGAAGAGTCATCTATGGGAACCCAATTAGAGAACCACTAAAATAGACCTTGAAAGTTTCCTCTCCAGGGCTGGGTGCAGTGGTATACTCCTGTAATCTCAGTTCCATGGGAGGCTACAGGTAGGAGGATCATGGTCCTGGTCCAAGGCCAGCTTTGGGCAAAAATTCAAGACCCTATCCAAAAAAATAAGCAAAAGTGGGATAGGAGCATGGCTCAAAGTAGAGGGCCTCCTACCAAGGATGAGGCCCTGAGTTCAAACCCCGTGTTAAAAGAAAGTAAGTTCCCTCCAGCCTTCTTACAACACTCAAATATATGTCTTCTATGAAAACCTTCCAGAAATATGCAATCTTATTATTTAATAAACTGATAAGGCAGTAGGAATGGTAAGGCTTTGTGTCTTAAAATTACAATGTTCTTTTTGGAGTCAAGGCACATCAAGCACGAGAGAAGGGAAGAAAGAGAAACACTTCAATAGGAATTTTTCTTTCTTCCACCATAATTAACCTCCTAATTTCTGGGACTTAGGTATGTATGTATGTATGTATGTATGTATGTATGTATGAATGAATGAATGAATAAATAAATAAATAAAGTTGTTTATCTATAACCTCACTTGTAAAACAGCTTTTTTATGTGTGTTTTTTAAAAGACTTACTCAAAAGTATCTGAATTTCTGAAATTTACATATTTTTAAGAGCAACAGGTTTTAGAGATTAGAGTTTCAAACAGAACAAAAAAATCTTACACAGGATCAAATTCAGTACAAACAATACTAAATAGTCATTTTACCCGTTCCTTTAAAAAATTTTTTTTTCATTTCAGTTTGCCAGAATAGTTTTCATTTCAGTCAATTAAGAGTGCTCATTTCTGAAGGTGTCAATTCCATTATACTTACTAAAGTGTATCTGGAGGACCAATAATAAGGACTTCCCATCGGTAAAGATCATTGTCATCTATTAAACCTGCTGAAAAGCCTTCCACTGGATTTTTGTTGAGTTCTGTGATAAAGAAAAATTTGATCAAAATTTTCAAACACGTAATTTTCATTCAACAGGTAAACTACAGAACTTGAACATACATGTTGTAAACTATGACGTGGATAATACCTTGCTAGGCAAAGTGCTACCTAATGACCAAAACCTTTCCATTACCATACAAGAAAGCCATGGTAAGGCAACCATCCAGAAGATCAACTTTTTGTGTCCAACTAAGCTGTAGGTGGCCCTGCTATAGACTTTGAGAGAGTTTGTTAAAACACAAATCTGCAAGGGGCTGGCAAAGTGGCTCAAGCAGTAAGAGCACTTGCTGGAGCCAAATGTGAGGCCCTGAGTTCAAACCCCAGTACCACCAAAAATAAAAGTAGCCTAAAACACAAATCTGCAGACCAATCCTCAAGAGGTCCTAGTTCAAAGGAAACCAAGATCAAACTAGGAGCAGTAATTCTAATGCTGTGGCCTTTAAAGCATACTTTCAGAAATACTGAGAGCGTACCTAATATCATGAGGTTTTTCTCTTCTAAAGAGTACTGTGGCATGGAGAAAGGATGACTAGGTTGGGGTACAAGAACAGAGGAAAAAATGAGGTGAGGGAACAAAGACCAACAGGAGACCTTAGAGAAGCAGGTGAGGGAGAGTTCAGAACCTAAATAGATTACAGAAACATAGGGTTTACTTAGAAGGAATGACTTATTGATGGTGGGCAGATCACATGAAAAATACTTTTCTGGTGGGACTGGGGTTTGAACTCAGGGCTTCATGCTTACAAAGCAGGCACTGTACCACTTGAGCTACACCTCCAGTCCATTTTGTTCCAGTTATTTTGGAGATGGTGAGCTCTTGAACTATTTGCTCAGAAGGGCCTCGAACTACAATCCTCCCAATCTCAGCCTCCCAAGCAGCTAGGATCCAGGCGTGAGCCACTGCACCCAGCTATGAATTATTTTTAAACAGCTCTAAGAAAGTATAATTAATGCTTGGTGAACTGGACCTACTTAAACCCTGCAATTTTATAAGTACTGATAATCACCACAATCATGATGGTAAGTACACATACACCCCTCAACACCACTATCAATTGTATTTACCTGCCAAGGGAGCTGAGGGGTAAGTAACTCAAATAAGGAAGTGAGGACAAACCATGTGCAAAGAGACTGGCTCAGAAAAGACTTCCTGGGATATAACACCTGCCATCATCCTCAAGATGCTCTGACTAATCCTGGAAACAAGTGTAATACAAGACATTGCGATGAAAGACTGAACAAAGTATGCTGGTAACTGAGAAGAAGGTATTGATTTTTGAGGAAATCAGAGATGGTGTTATCAACAACTAAGATTTAATGCGCCAACATGCCAATAAAACATGGAAAGTGCCTTTGAGGGGAGACTTTTACAAGCCTAATACGCAAAGCTTTTATAAATAGCTAAAATCTACACAAATTACGAGAAATTTATTTTTACTTTTAAATAGTTATTTTAAGTAGGAGGGTGAATATGGTGGAAATATTATGTATTCATGTATGAAAATGGAAAAATGAAACCTACTGAATTTCTTCTAAGAATGGGGGAGAGGGGAGATAAAGGAGCATGATGGAGAGTGTGAATTTAACTAAAATATATTTAAACACTTTTATAAATGTCACACAATATCCCCAATACAACGTTAAATAAATAAATGAATAGCTATTTTAAGGCTTTTTAAAGACACTGAAAATACATTAAGATAGGAATTGCATTTTCATCTTTTTATTTTCTTTATGCATGCATCTTAGTCTGAGTCCATGTTGTACACATACTGGAAAAAAGAAAAAAAAAAGGAAACTTGCACTTTACTGTCAACTGAAGAATGCAGTGTATGGGCAGGTAGAATGACTCAAGTGATAGAATGTCTGCCTAGCAAACGTGAGACCCTGAGTTCAAATGCCAGTACCACCAAAAGTGAGTAAATAAAAGAATGCAGTGTAGCACAGACAAATGCAATACCAACAACTTTTTGTACATGAGTAATCTCATTTCCAAACCTCTTTACTAGATGAACATTACTATACAGTCAGTTCACTGAATCTGTGGGTTCCGCATCACAGATTCAACCAACCACAGATGGAAAATACTAAAAAGGGGATCTGAGATATTAAATATTAATATTTAAAGGGGATCTCAGTGGCAGATCACTTGCCTAGCGTATGTAAGGCCCTGAGTTGATCCCCAACACCACAAAACAAACAAACAAAATAACTGCATGTGCACTGAATGTGTAGACTTTTTTTTCTGGTTATAACTTCCTAAACAATACAGTATAACAACTAGCAATACCTAGCACAATGTAAATGAGAAGTAACAAGCAATCTAGAGATGGCTTAAAGTACACTGAAGGGTGTGCAAAGATTGTATGCAAATACTATGTCATTTTATACAAGGGACTTGAGTGTTCACACACTTTGGTATCTGAGGGGGTTCCTGGAACCAATCGTCCACAGATACTGACAACTGTATTACTCAGATCATTTCTTCCAATATCGTACACAATGGTTCAATTAATTATTGAGAAATCACCCAGTTGCATTTTTCAACAGAAGTCCAGTGAAATCATTGCTTATCACTTGTTAACACACCTTAAATTCTGAAACTATTCTATGAGCGTGACCAGATACATTGCACATTTCATATGAGTAATGCAAAAACAAGACTGAAGAATATCTAACATCTCACTTTTGTCAGCTTCTGTTCCTGTCATGGATCCTCTAGGTCTTTTTGTGATGCTGGAAGTTAAACCCATGGCTTTGCACATGCTTGGCAAGCATTCTACCACTCCTCCTAGGTCTAGATCCACAAATACTTAACAGATTTAATCTGCCTACAGTGGTAGACATTACCATTCCTTCATGAATGACCCCTTCACAGCCTCGTTCAAGTACTATCCTCCTCCATTAGGCCTTACTGCTAAAATTTTATTCATTATACTTACAGCCTGTATAGCATTACCAGACACGTGACTATCATCAGCTCCTTGTTCTAAATAGGCAATGACAATGTAGAATTTTTGTGTACAATTATGAATGGAGGTAGCTTTCCTAAGCAGGACACAAAGTTGAACATTATACACACAAAATATTTTAAGAATAGTACTGCGATAAAGTTTAAATACAAATGACAGTATGTGAGAAAGTGTCTGGAATATAACATGTAGAAGTCTACTATGCTTGATAAAAACAGAGCTCCTATAAATCAAAAGAAAGAGGAAGCAGGCAAAGGGTCCAAACAAACTACTGAGAGACAAGATTCAAAAATGGCTGACAAATGAAATTTTACTTTGCTTAAGCTACATTCTCAAACCAAGAAGGGCACATGCTTGGGTTTCCTTTTATATTCCTAAGGTACTGGGATAGTAGTTGTGAATATGACAAAATGAAGGTGCATATTTTATGAATGCTACCTAGATATACCATTAGAGAAGGAAAGGTCTAGAAAGATTTCCCTTTCCCATAGCTCACAAATGCTAAAACAAAATCTAAAGTTCTAATGGAGACAAAACTTAGCACTAATATTGGAAACAAAGACAGTGGTCTTTTTTCTTTCTTGTACATTTTGTTTTTTTGGTTGTTTTCTTGGAGGAGGAAATGAGAATGGTATCTGGGAGGAGACATAAGACACATTCTGGGCTGCCGATAATGGCATGGTACAACCTGACTATTCATGTGCTTTGCTATGCATGTTAAACTTCAATTTCTGAACTCGGATATCCTATCATGTCACATGAATGATAAATAAGACTTGTATGTGTATGCTATAAATTTGAAAATCAAATGGGCGTCAGTGGGGGTCAACGCAGCCTACAATTCATGAATAAAAAGGAAACCAAGGATAAGGAAATGTCTTTGAGAGTAATGACTAGAATACAAGTAATGGAAAACAATGCAAAAGAAACTGCAAGATGGTTTCACTATCAAGAATAAGCCTAAGACAAGGCTTGGGGTTCACACCTGTAATCCTAGCTACTCAGGAGGATCAAGGTTCAAAACCAGTCCCTATCTCAAAAAAAACACATCACAAAAAAGGAGCTAGCAGAGTAGCTCAAGCAGTAAGAGTGCCTGCTTAGCAAGCGTGAGGCAGAGTTCAAACCCCAGTGCTTAAGAGAGAAAGAGAGAGAGAATGAGTAAGACTGAAACCTGGATACAGTGCCTAAGCCTACAATCCTAGTGATTCAATGCAAGTCCAGTTAAAAATGTTTGCAGGACCCCATCTCAACCAATGGCTGGGGGTGGTGATATGCGTCTGTCATCCCAATTATTCAAGGAAGCACAAAGAAGATCGTAGTCCAGACCGACCCTGGCATAAAGAGAGACCATATCTCAAAAAATAACTAAAAGCAAAAAGGGCTGGGAGCATGGCTCAAGTGGTAGAGTACCTGCCTTGCAAAACACAAGGCCCTGAGTTCAAATCCCATTCCTCCAAAAAAGAGTAAGACTAAATAAAAAGGCAGGTGTAGCGTTGCATGCCTTTACTCTCAGAATTCAGGAGGCTGAGGCAGGAGGACCATGAGTTCCCATCCATCCAAAGCTTTGAAACACATATTTCTGAGCTCTTTCCACTAAAAAAGGTTTAGGAAAATGGGCACCTAAGTAGCAATGAGCATCCAGAATATGGTCTCCAAATATAAATTTACCGCTAACAAGGACCAAGGCTTTCTGGAGAAATGGCTGATTCCAAATGTATGGCAAGAACGTGTTAACGTCCCATGAGCCTATTAAATAATACTATGGCTTTCTAGTTAAAAAGACTTAATAGACAACTTGAAGGACTCCCTCTGGCCAGAATGTAACAGTCTGAATATCAATAAAATTAACAGCCAGTGGCTTACGCCTGTGATCCTAGCTATAAGAGCATTATGGTTCAAAGTCAGCCCCCAGCTGATAGTTTGCAAGATCCTATCTCAAAAATATACAACACAAAACAGGGCTGGTGAAGTGGAGTAGTAGAGCACCTTATTAGCAAATGTGAGGCCCTGAGTCACAAATATGTTCAAATTTCAGTGTTTATACTTGTGACATCAGAAACAAAAATTAATTGGTCACCATTACCTGATACTAGTAAACCATTTGGTTGTTTTGGTTTTGTTTTACAGTTTTGAAGATTGAACCCAGAGTCCTGACTATTCTATACATCA